TTGACTCAAAATCTGGAAGATATATCATGTGATTGGAAGTCGATTTATGATAATATTTTGATGATATTCCTTTTTTTTTTTTTTTTTACTTCTAATTGCATCTAATTGACTCCTATCAATTTTTAAACTATCTCTTATGCTCAAATTCAACCACTGGATGTTTGCAATTTAGTTCTCAAACTTTGTACTTCACCATTTTTCGCTCCTTTATTTCAATTCAACTTCAAACCATCTAGTTTTACCTATTAAACGAAACATAAAATGAATTAGGTTATAATTGCTTTAAAAACTATTAAATATCTATATTTTTAGATCTAAATAAGTGTATAAAATACATTTATCATTTGGCACGGTAGGCGAGGCAGGTCTTAATAGCTTTGCGCCCATTGTTTATAGGGTAAAAATTTGAGCAATTCTGGCTAGGAAGGCACAATAAAATAGTCTAATCCCACACCTCCCAACTTTGTCTCTTGTTTGTTGCTTTGCTTGGAGTACCTATATTAAAAAAATTGTTTAAGCCCCATTTTTTAAAGAAATTATATTTTAAGATAGTTATTTTTTTAAGAATAGTTAAAAGATAAAGTAAAATTGTTAATTTACATGGAAAATTATTTTATGAGAAAATGTGCAGTTGAAAATGAGTTTTGAATAAAGAAGGATATATTTGGTTTGCATTTTTCGTTTTTAGTTTTGAATTCATTTCTATTTTCTGTTTTGAAGGATTATTTAAGAATTGCAAAAAACATATTTGGTTTGTTATTCTTAAAAATTGTTTCTCAAAAAAAAAAAAAATTAGAAAACGAGTTTGATTTAAAAATTTTAGAATATAGTTTTTTGACTTTTTTTCAATCAATTTGATTATTTAATAAAACATATCAATTTTATGCTAATATGTGATAAAGAAATATAAATTTTAAAGTGGGTAATAAAATAAATCATTGTAAGTATGTTCAACAATTGATCGAAATCATCCGTACATAATAAATCATTGTCATTCGTATCATTTATCCTCTTACCACAATTATTTATAATAACACTCTAACAAATATAAATATCAAAATACAATACATCGATTAATATAAAACTAGTAAATCTTTGCAGCATACTGTGAATATACATATAACAAATTTAGAAAGAATTCATTATTATTGTCCCCTTTGCACTCTCGTAAAGTATTGTATTTCTATTGCCACGCCCGACCAGTCATTCATCCTATTCAATTCCAACCCAACTCATCCTTTTCGACCCTATAATATAATATCACCATTTATGATCAGTTATCAAGCAATAAATTCCCTCATTAAGTTTTAATTCATTATATGAATATATAGTGTAAAACCCACAACTACATAAATATGACTCGACTTTTCCAATCGAGATCTTGAATAGTTACAGGGACGGATTTGGGGCGGAGGGGGCAGGACCAACAACTTTTTTTTAAAGGTATTTTTTTATTTTTTTTTGGGTAAAAAATCAGTTTTTTATGTGTAAATTTTTTTTTTCCACGTAATAACCCAGTTTGAAATTTTATAGCCTGATTTTGGATTCAATCCTGAATCCATCCCTACATAGTTACTGACTTATTTTCTGTCAAATCAATGCCGTCGGGGAAAAATCTTCCTTCCCAAAAATAGCCCCTCATTGTGCATTAGCCTCACACGAAAAGAAGTGCATAAAAAATGGGGAAGATACTATTTTGATTATGGGGTCAATATAATACAAAATCAATTGGGTAATAACTACTTGAGAAGTTGAAAAATTACCTTCACTCCTAGTTTGAGGTTTTAGAAATAGCAATAGAGATAGAGATTCCCCACTAGAATACTTGGAGGAGCTTGGAACGAGAGAGGGGGAAAAAGAAAGAGAGAGAGAAGTATTTATATTTGGACAGGTTTTGTGTGATTTTATTAATTACTTTAATTTGAGAAATTTTTAAGTTCATTTTCCTTGTTTTAAGTTTTTTTTTAGTGTTTTCAATAAAGTCATTTGGAGTTTTATGTTGTAATTTCTTTTTCAATTTTGCTACATGTACAGAAAAAATTGACCCCATTTTTACAGAGAAACAGTTGAGAAATTTTCATTGATTTTTGACACAAGAAACACAGAAATTTCACCACACAAATACTGCCAACACAGCACCTATATCATTTCTGTTAATAATTCCATGTATCTATGGAATTATTATTTTTTTTTTCGAAAACACATTTTTTAAAATAACATATCAAACATGTTTTTAATGTTTTAAAAAATTGAAAATTAAAAGTGATCTCAAAATGACAAATCATACTCACTTTGAGTTTTTGAAAAAATGACAACTAGAATATCCTTTGTGTCATGCTTAGTATTTGCCAAACTTACTTTATGATAAAAAAGAAATAAACTGTTTAAAATAGATTACAAGTAACAAGTGTGGTCGTGTGAATCAAAATAAGAAATATCAAATTACTATTGGAAATATAGTAGATTCCCTTTTAGGTTAATACCCGTAAAATTGCTTTACAAATAAAAAATAAATAACTTTTAATGCAAGATTTGAAAATATAAAAATGAGGAAATTACTAAAAATGTCAACTTTCACATATCCATTTGCAAAAATATCTACCATTGCAAATTCTTGCAAAAATGTCCATTTTGAATAATTTAGACCAATATACCATTGTAGGCATTTTTGCAACTAAAAATTTTATTGACCAATAAAATTTTGACACATAACATGTCCTATTTATTTTAAAAGTGCACATGTCAAATCACAATAAATACTATTTTTCTCATTGACACAGAAATATCGAGAGCTACATTTCAAATGTAGGGAAAATGTCATGTTTGGAATGAAATGTTATTTTAAACATCTAATATGTCGAGAACAACATTTGAAATGTCGAAAACATTTAATATTGTAATTTGACATGTGTATTTTTTTGAAACATAAACGAGGTTCAAATATCGAAAACGACATTTCGAAAACATCATTTTAATGCAACTTCTCATGGAAGTTATTTCTCGAAATTTGTGAAAAATCGAAAAAAAATTAATTGCTTCATTTTTTCATTAAGAAAATCATAAACAATTTAGTACTAAATTTAAAATGTGGACATTTTTTTATTGACACCCATGAAATTGGACATTTTTTATAATACCCCAATATAAACCTTGTACCCACGGTGCGGTACAATGAACATCAACCCATTCTCGATGAAATAACAAAATAGAAAGCAAGAAATTTGGCTTGCGAATGGCAAATATTTTGTATGGTGGGCAGATTTTGTGAGGCTGTTGATTTTCAGACTGAAAATGTTAATTTTAACTGTTAACAGTGAAATTTTGGGAAGTTTTTTGCTGGTGGTTGAAGAATTGTAGGGTTTCGAATTCGAGTTAAATTTCTGAATACTGAGAATTTAAGGGTGAGAATGAGAATAAAGGGCATCTTGTTCATGTTTTGTAACACCCAAGCCCCCAGAAGTAATATTAACATTTATATATTTACAAAACGGTAATAGTATAATAACCCACAAAATAGTTGTTGACATGGCCCATTGTATTCAAGTTAGATTCTTCAAGTATTTTCAGCATCATTCAACATTAAGTCCGACAACATTACAAAGTGCAACTGTGAACACAATGTGCAGTAAGTATGATGTGTATATGCATGCTCGACGTCTTCTAGCCCTCAAACCTTCTATTGTGTACTGCATACTGAATATAACCATTACACATGATATATATGATATCCCTACATGATATGACAATCACATATAACTATCACACACGATCATACATGATATGCATGACCTACCAAATGGGTATAGGTCACATTGATTTTTGCTCAAGTTATGATAAATATGTGTATCTCAATATGCCAGAGGATGCTATGATGAATCCATGATATGTAGTACAACATTGCACTTTCGAGATCACCAATTGACATACAACACACACCTCACATAACACGATATCCATTACCGCACAAGTATAAAGTAATTGATGCCACGTAGTAACAAGTAAATCGCGCATACAAAAACCTACATGATTTTGCACAGAAGTTGAAAGCAACTTACATTGTATAATTGGATTTCTGTTAAAGCTTGCATAAATCAATCACTTGTATTGTATCTTCTGAATGTCTATACCATCTCATGAGATAAGTTATGGGGATCAATTGGAGCTTAAAATACCAAAGCAGGGTAATTAAAATTATTAATTAGAGATAAATACATTTTCTCGCCGATCAGCTAGCTTATATAATAGCTAATTTTCAAATGAAAAAGGTGTGGTTCCCACGGAGCTGATGCCCTGGAAATCCTGGGACCATGTGGCCCTGGATGAGGGAATTATTCCAGTTCCCATTTATAGTAGTGGGGTTAGGGCACAAATTTAATAATAATTTTTTGAAAAATAATATGTGATCCTTATTGAGTCGTTTGACGAAATTCTATTGACCCTAATTATTTATAATTATCTATGTTGCTGTGACAGTTTCTATCCACCACATTGCACAGTGACTGCAAAATGAACTCCAATGGCACGCCTTCTTGAGATAAAACCGGCCCAGTACCTATCACAGATGTCTCAACCCCGAATACTTAGTCAAAGTTGGGCAAAGCCAAGAGGCAATAACTATCCACTTTCTATTTAAACACCATGCTTTAGGTACATAATAAAAATTATAATGGTGTTCATAATGTTCAAATGACGCCCTATATTGGATGGTGTCCATTATATTGAAGTAGCATAATCCTTCTATTTAATTACCCCTTTTTTTGTGGGGGGTGAGTTTGCCTGGGTATGTTCGGAGTAGTTGTATTTTACTTTGTCCTTGATTGTCTGATGTATTTGTACATGAATTTTGATTTATAGTAATTAATATTTATCCCAAAAATAAAAATGAACGGAGTGGGTGGAAGCATTGCACGTCATCCATTGAAGGGCAAAAAAAAGCTGAGACCAAAAACTTCTTATTAGGATTAGGATATTATGGGCTCGACAACAATTCGTGGTGCATATTCAACCTAACTCCTACAACTAAAAAGCTTACTCTTTTCTTATGATCTTATCCTTGAGGATATCCATTAGCCCAAAATTTTTCGTATTTATTTCATTTCAACGGAGTGCTATCAAGTAAACCACCATGGAAGCTTGTTTTCTCTCTTCACATTCCTTTACGAAAACCATCGAAGTTCTTCCTTCAGTCAGAGGAAGAATTACAAGAAAAAATCCCAATCAATATCAGTGCAGGAAATCTGGGAATCCATTCTCTGTATCATGTAAGTTCGCTATCTGTTTTTTCGATTTTTGTATGCTATTTTTTTTTAGAAATAATTGAGACCAAAACACAGAGAGTTGGTAATACAATTTAGCTTTTCTGGGAAATGAACAGTTTGATGAATTCTGTGATTGAAGTGAATTTAGCTTTTCTTTCGTATAAGTTTGTGGTAGGTGTACCTATCGATTAGGTAATACCAGTGGTGGATCCAAGAATTCATCTGAGGTAGAGTGCCGTCCAATATATGGAAAGAAATTTTCGACAGTGCCAGCACTGGTGGCTGTCATAGCTTGTCAGTTGCTAACTCCCCCACTGCTAATACGTCCGCACTTTGAGATAATCTCGTTCATTCATTGGATGGGACGATGTGTTGCTTCTATACGCAGCATCTAGATTGGTACCACTTATTAGGCATTAATGACTATCCATCTTGAACTCTTACCTATACCGATTAACATGATATGATTAATAAAAATAAGTAACAAACTTTGTATAATTTTTATGTACATTGTGGGTCGATTCCAGGTTGTCAATCTGGTTCACCATCCTCATCTCCTCAAGACGAGTCGATTCCTTCTATTAATGCCGACTGGAGAGCATTTAGGGCTGGACTAATCGCCAGAGACCGAGCCCTAAAGCAAGTAGAGCCTTCTTTCATGGTTGATCAAGACGCCATTATTTCTCAGCCTAAACCAAACACAATTGGAGACAAATGGGCCCACACCATCCATGAACCCGAAAAAGGTTGCCTTTTGATTGCCACAGAAAAGCTAAACGGGGTCCACATTTTCGAGAAGACAGTGATCCTTCTCTTATCGACCGGCCCAATAGGCCCAACTGGTGTTATACTCAACAGGTCATCACTCATGTCCATTAAGGAAATGGGCTCATCGGCACTCGATGTATCGGGTACTTTTTCCAATAGGCCCTTATTCTTTGGGGGTCCATTGGAAGAAGGGCTTTTTCTTGTGACCTCGAAAGAGGGGAACGATACGGTTGGGAAAAGTGGGGTTTTCGATGAGGTAATGAAAGGGTTGTACTTTGGGACAAAAGAGAGTGTGGGGTGTGCTGCTGAAATGGTGAAAAGGGATATGGTACAAGTAGGGGATTTCAAGTTTTTTGATGGATATTGTGCTTGGGAAAGAGAACAGCTTAGGGATGAGATTAGGGCCCNAAGGTTTGGTAGTTTTCTTGAAGTAAGAAAAAGCCCAACAGTGAATGACCATATGGGCCTCTCATTTAATGTGCCGGGAACACCTTAATCCCTTTGATTTGTAAATATTAAGAATTAATGTATTTGACAGTATTGATTCCATTTTATTCTCATTAATTTTTTAACTCCACTTGTACACAAATTAAACATTGTTCACTCATTCATTACTATATTTTTAATTTATTTATTTTAATAAAAGTTCGTGTTCAAAAATGTTTATATACTGTTTAAATTATAAATAAATAGGAATGAATATCGGAGAAGTGACTTGAATATTAATAAACAGTTTATAAATATAGGCCAAAAAATTTTATTTTTTTTTTCAAATTAATTGGGTCATCTTTAGTATCAAATCTTCAAATTTAACTCGGTTATGGTGTAAAAAAAGGGTTTGATTATTGTCTCATTAGCTAATTCGTCTGTTGGAATTCATCTGGCTAAATGAAGTCGAACTAGGTGAAATCATTTATAAAGAACAAATTTAACAATGTCCAAAATACTAAAATTTCAAGGATTGGATAAAATTGAACACAACCAAATGGAATAATTAACTTTAAATATCGGGTCAACTCAGTTTATATTTTTTGAATAAAATTAATTTGGATCAAAATATTTTCTAAATTAATGGAACTGACCAATGTGCATCTCAGGGCTTGTGTGTGATTTCACTCAGTTATATTTTTATTTGCATATTTATTCTCGTATTCACTAGGCAGATAATTATTTTTATTAGCTAGCAACAGGGGTGGAGCTAGAATTTTAGTTTAATGCGGGCAAAAATTTTTCGATAACGAATGTTGAGGTTTTGATAATGGATTTAATGATAATAAAAAAATAAAATAATAGTACAACAATACTAAAAACGACATAATTTATATATTACACTTGTTCTTTGCGAGTTTTCATACTTTGATATCGTTGTACAATAATTTCATTATCGAGCTTCAAAAATATATCTTTCTCCACATAAACAATTGTGTTATCATTCATCCACTGATCACCCAATTACTACTAGGAGTGGGAGTAATTCAGAATGTCAAATGAATCACAAATGCAGGAAACAACTCACAAAATTCAGTGTAATTCACAATTTCACATAATCAATTCACAGTGCAATACGCCAACACCTGTATATATCATTTGTCCAGTGCAATTCACAATTTCACTTAATCAATTCACATTTCAATACTCCAATTCACAATTTCACATAATCAATTCACAATTTCACAATACAATATGTACTATTTCCAAATTCTAGGCAACTTGAACTTACAATCACAGATTCTCAGAGAGCTAGAGCCCATAGGCAACAATGAACTGGTGGTCCACTGGAAGTTTGTGCCGCTTCGAGCAATTGAAGAACAAAGTGCTAATTTCATATGTTAAAAACAAAAAGGGAAAAAAAACAAATATTATTACAATTTACACAAATTGAAATAACAAAAAAAATAAGGGAAAAAAAATTTGGGGCTTCACCTTCTACTTTCTGGAATGTGGCTTCTTCTTTTGCTGGCTCGACAGGCTGGCATTGGCACTTGGCGCCTTAACGGAGCTGTGGATGTAGAGTCGGAGTCAGAGATGTGAGATGTCAAGATGAGAACCTAGAGTAGGAGATGTACAATAATGGAATGTCGGACAACTGTCGGAGATGACGGTTGACGGAGAGGGAAGGGAACAACGGACATTGTCACCGGTGGAGAGGGAAGTGGGTGGCGAAGTGTGAAGTCCTCACAGACAAAGTCACAAATGGTTGAAATTTTGAAATGAATGAATAGGTTTGGGTCAACAATTGATTCAATTGAATTTTGATATGAATGGATCTAAAACGGGTCATGGCATTGCACAATTGGGTTTCTCTCTCTGGGCTAGATAGAGAATTAGGTTATTGGGTTAAAATAATATATATATAACAGATTTATCAGTCTGTTGAGTCTGATTATCTGATTTAGTAGTGGAATCAATAGTCCCCTGAGTCTGTTGAACTTTTGGTAAGTCCACAACCTTAAACGGATTTGATAAGTCTTTATCAGCTACCGTTTGGGCTGGACTAATTATGGAATGTCGGGATTTTTTCAAAAGAAAGATTCCCACTAAATTATTTTAGACACTTGTTAGACATTTGATTTGCCAGAAATTTTTCAGTGAAGTGAGTGCATTTCTCATTAAGGGTAAAATAGATTTTTTGATATGTTAATAACAGAACAAGAAATAGAAAATTTAATATCTAGATTAGAAAAGATAGAAATAATAGGAGAAAATGTTTTAAAATTTTGGGAAAAATATAAAATATTATGTGAATTAAAAATTAAACACCCAAAATATATCATTAAAACTAAGAATATAGAAGCCACAAATTTAGACTTAGAAGATTTTAAAATACATATAAAAGAACTTTTAGAATTAAGAGTTATTAGAAAATCAAAAAGTCCTCATAGATCAGCAGCCTTTATTGTTAGAAAACATTCAGAAATTGTTAGAGGAAAAAGTATAATGATAATTAGTTATAAAAGATTTAATGATAATACTATCGATGATTCTTACAACGTACCAGACAAAACTGTTTTAATAAATAAAATACAAGACTGTAAAATTTTTAGTAAATTTGATTTAAAATCAGGATTTTTGCAAGTAAAAATGCACTCAGAAAGTATTAAATTGACAGCTTTTACTTGTCCAGAAGGACATTTTGAATGGCTTGTAATGTCATTTGGAATTAAAAATGCACCTAGTATTTTCCAAAGAAAAATGAAAAATATTTTTAATAAACATAGTAAGTTCGTAATAGTATATATATATAGATGATATTTTAGTGTTCAGTAAAAATAGAAGAGAACATAGAGGACATTTACAAATAGTTTTTTCATAATTTATTAAACATGCTCTAATAATTAGTAAAAAGAAAATGATTTTATTTAAAGAATTTATAGATTTTTTAGGAGTTAATATAGGAGAAGGAAAAATTAAGTTACAACCTCATATAGCTCAGAAAGCTTTGAAATTTTCAGATAAACTTGAAGATTTAAAACAAATTCAAAAATTCTTAGGATTAGTAAATTATACTAGACCATTTATACAAGATTTGAGAAAAATTGCAGGACCTCTATATGCAAAGACCTCTCCTACAGGACAAAGATTTTTTAATCAAAAAGATATAAAGTTAGTACAACAAATAAAAGAAAAAATAAAAAATTTACCGGAATTGGCAATGCCATTAGATTCAGAATATTTAATTATAGAAACAGATGGAAGTATGATAGGATGGGGAGCTATATTAATATGTAAGCCTAATAAATATACTGATAAAAGTACAGAAAGAATTTGTAAATATAATAGTGGAAATTATAGAGAAAAAGGAAATTTAAGTAGTATAGATGCAGAATTATTAGCCATAAATTATGCATTAGATAGTTTTGAATTGTTTATCATAGCTAAGAAAGAAATAACTATAAGAACAGATTGTGTAGTTATAGTCTCTTTTGTGAATAAAATGAAAATAGATTCAAAAAGAAGTAGTAGGAGAAGATGGTTAAAATTTATAGACAGAATTACAAATACAGGAATTAATATAGAATTTGAATATATTAAAGGTAGTGATAATAAAGTAGCAGATATTTTAAATAGAATAATAATAGATAAAAATTATTAAAATTGTTTAACATGATTTTGTTACATAGATGTCTAGACTAAGACCTTTAAGATCAGGAATTCCACCAGGGAATTCATTTGCATCAAGTTCTTTACCACAGACTTCATTTAATCAGAACAGACCAATGTTACAAGATAGACTAAGGTTTGAAAACTAAGAACTAATAGTTTTTCCAAATAGTAATATTTTTTTAAAAATTTTACCTCATATTTCTTTATCTAGAGAAGAAAAATGTATTTTCGATAATTTATGGATTTCATATAATAAGAATTCAAAAGATCAGAAATATTTTCTTGCATGTATGAAAGCATTATCAGAACATTTTAGTCAGAACAAGCAAAGATTTAAATTTTATGTTGTTATTAAAGGTAAAACACCATGAATTTTCCATTCTTGGATAGAAGTTTTAGACGGTATTAAAAATTTTTCAAATCCTTTTATAAAGGTTTTTCAAATTTTCAAGAAATTTTAGACACAGCAAGACAGCATATAGGAATAAATTTTTTTTATTCCTTCTTTAAAAAATTATTCTGATCCTCTATTAGACTTCTCTCCAAGTAAAGATCAAATTTTTTTTGCCAACACTGTGAGTGTATGTAAAGAAATTATAAAGTTATTAATGAAGCTAACCAGAATCTTTCATTAGAAAGAACTCAACTCCAAAAGAAAGTGGCCCAACTAGAAAAAGAGATTTTGGATTTAAAAATCCATTATCCAAAAGGTACTATGGAGCCCAAGAAGTCCATAGCTAGTCCAGCCCAAACGGTAGCTTGTAAAGACTTATCAAATCCGTTTAAGGTTGTGGACTTACCAAAAGTTCAACAGACTCAGAGGACTGTTGATTCATCTACTAAATCAGATAATCAGACTCAGCAGACTGATAAATCTGCTACAGACAAAGGTAAAGAGATTTGGGATCTTTTAGGACAACCTAATGGAAAATTTGATTATTTAGTAAAATATAGTCTACTTGAACATTTTTCACCAAAACATTTTTCAAATAACCCAGATCTTTCACAAACCCAAGAAATTCAGTCCAGTGAAGAAAAGGGAAAAATGATTGTTCAAGATAGCCAAGAACTTTTTCAAGATGCACAAGACCCCAATCAAGATACTGTTTCCTTAGAAAAAATTTTTGAAAAAATAGAAGAATTTCAAAAACAATCCAAAAGAAGAAGGAACTTCTTCAAAAAAAAAAGAAAAAGACTAAGAAGAAGAAAAATGATGAAAAATTAAAAAAACAAATTAAAAAAGCAGTAAATCAAGCATTTGAGACAATTTTAAAAAAGAACCATGGAGAAGAAAAAGAAATTACAGAATGTCCAGATCAAAAGGAAAAAGATGAAGCCAGCCTTTCCAGACTTTCAGACAAAGATCCACAGAATGAAGGATACAATAATTCAGATAGTGGGATGTCATTTTCATCAGTGGCACGCCATAATCTCAGCACATAATAAGATCTCCAATAATTCAGAAAAAGAC